CACAAATGTAAGAGTATCTTTGATGGGGTTAGAGAGCAACAGGGTAATGTTGTTTAATACTGCAGCCAGAAATATTCCAGCCATAATCGGCGGCGTGTAAATAATCAAGTCTGGATCAGGCAAACCACTGACTGAAAACTAGCCCAATGAACCACGACATCAGAACACTTTGACATGCAATCCGATCGAATTTAGACTCTTCTTATGACCACCTAAAAGTGCTTTAGGCATTTCCTAACCAAGCCTCCTCCCTTCAGTGACATCAGTAATGGTTGGACAAATTATGTTTAGAGCTGTTGAAAGTGTTTCCAATAATCCTCATGACCTGTTTGTCTTGGGAGCAGTTCTTTAAGCAGGCACAGCATGTGAAATGGTCATGATTGAATTGAATATTGAACTAAAGGTCCGTCCCAGTCTTGAAAACTTTAGAGCTAGCCTCCCAAACTACCTGTTCCAAGCTGCCATAACAGTATTTAAAACCTCATTTTTCTCTCCTATTACATTCAGTCACGTACAATTTCAATGGATAGTTTTGTAGTGATTATTTTCATTACTTGTCCTTGTTGCACCGTGAGAAGCCATTTTAACCCAGATTAAGCAATTATGAATTATTGTTACTGAGGCAATTTTGTGTTGTAACTGTAACAAATAAGTGTTAACATAATGTTTTATGGTCCAGGGCCAACATACACAAAGGGACCACTTGTCCATTCTTGGAAATAAAAGCAAGAAATTATTTTCATATTCATAAGCAACATCTGCCGAAAGCAGAATCAACTTTATGATTCCAACAACGTCATGAGCATGTGTTTGCAAGTCACTGTCAAAATAGTGATGATACCAGATATTCACGAAAAGGTGTGCATATCCTGCTCCCACTGGCACCCATCATAAATACATGCAAAGGCCTGTCAATTGTTCACCTGAAAAAAATTCCGGAACATATGGTACAAATCAAAGTAGGGAATTGTGTTGGACATCATTTTTGTCGCTGACGCGTCAAATTTAGCAGCAATGAGATTGCTTTGTGCAGTGGTCCCAGAACCATTGAGCCTTTGAGAGCCCCATGTCCATTCTTCACAGTGTCCTAATCTCATTTTCTACCCTGTGGAGATTTCTTGTCAGTAGGGGTCCCCTGTACAGCTGATGCTTGTCATTACAGTTGACCGATTGGGATAGGTTTGCCAGGATTGGTCTCAAGGTCATGGATTGGATCACTCAAGCATTTAGTCACCAGTTCGTCTGATCTTAGTTCAATTAGAAATGGTCACAATATAACTGGAATAATAGTGACTACAGACTTGTACAACAGTCATGTGAATGATTTCTATTGCAACCATTGTGATTGATTTACTGATGCCCTGACAAGAAACATTGAGATAAATGTATAAATCATCTGATCGTACATACACTGAAGCTGACTGGAGTTTTATCTTCACTCAAACATATAAAAGTCAGAAGGAACACATGTATTGTCAGACACGTGAACATTGGTGTTATTGTCTTTAAATGGTCACATGAGTGAGTGAGTGAGTGAGTGAGTATGGTTTTATGCCGCCTTTAGCAATATTCCAGCAATATCACGGCAGGGGACACCAGAAATGGGCTTCACACATTGTGCCCATGTGGGGTTTCGAACCCGGGTCTTTGGCGTGACGGGCTAACGCTTTAACCACTAGGCTACCCCACGGCCCAAATGGTCACATGATTAACCTTGCATCCTGGTTGTGTTGTGTGAACCCTGGACCTTCTCAGGACCTGTGCCACCCAAGTGCCCGAGCTACCTATCCCAGCATGGGTAACAATCCATGTCAACAGAATACATAGAGAATCTCACCCGAGTGTCTTTTGATATCAAATATATCATCATGAGTTGATAAAGTAACAAACCTCCGAGGCTTGCCGAGGATATTTTTACTTTCATCAACGAGTGTTGATATATTTGATATCAGAAGACACAAGGGTGAGATTCTATTTATCATAAAAAATCACTCTTCATTAGTTTTCAATGAAAAATGGACATATCTGAACACAGTACTGCCATTAGATTTGCAGTGCAGCGATGTCAGAGCATTGTGACGTCATCAAGTTCATCACGTCACAGCATTGTCAGGGCACTGTGCAAAATCTACTGTCAAAACAATATCTCCTAGGAGATATCGTCTGATCTCACACAAGCAATATCTCCTGTGGAACACAGTTTTGGATGATAAAATGACACATCATGACACAGGTCAAGCAGTAACTCAAGATTTAGTCAACTCAGTGAACTAACCAGCTCAGTATTTCAGTTATATAATGACGTGCCTATTTTTATGTAATTACTCTATTGGCTCATACTACAGACATGGATCTTTGATGCTGAGTGAGTGAGTGAGTGAGTGAGTTAAATATTTACATCTCATCGACATTATTTCAGCCATACAGTATCTTATTTCAAAGCACCTAAAATATAATCAGTTTACATTTGATAATTGTACATTGATGCAAATATTTCATATTGCTCAAACTCAAAGCTATTAACCTTTAATGTGTGAAAGGTCATGCAAAGATCAGACTTTCTTCCTTTTCATTGCATGCAGTGTACTATATTTATATGATGATGATGATGATGATGATGATGATGATGATGATGCATGCTTTGTCAGGCTCTGGATGCTGCTGTGGTCAAAATAAACTACAAATTACAAATTTTCAGATTAATTAATCTTGAGTATGTTGTATATTCTCTATGATGATGATGATGATAATGATGATGACAATGTAGCTGCTGCTGCTGCTGCGGTTATAAATTATGAGCCAGTCTGTAGAAGAACTACATCCGAAATAATGGAAGGTCATACCTAGCTCACAACACATATTAACACTGATCTATTTGCTCCCTCGGGTATAACAAAGTTTTCAGAGGCTGGCTTTTTTTTTCATTTGGAAAAAGAATCTTACAATCAATACAGTGAGAGGATCCCTTTTATCCCAGGAGAATTAACATTTCACAAGCTATGACGCAAAGCGATGGTTGATAGAAGAAATAATCATCACTCTTGTAAAACATCATGACATTTAAACAACCATTTTCACAAGAATACTATGAATAAGTCAGTGAATGAGCATATTTAGAGGTTAAGGATATTAAATATTTGTATAATTAATATGATTTATCTTGTTAATGAAAATTAATACTGCATTGATAAATCTATAAAATAAATGCAGATAATTTCACAATTTGTTGGTGATATGTGTTTCTATACTTAATGCATTAAGCACAGTAAGCTGAACAGTTTTCAATGACATATGTCATAAAATTGATACTGTAAGATTTTCATTTTCATCATTGCAAAAATAGCTTAATGATCAAGGTAGGTGATCCTTGAATCCTCAGAACCAGTTAGTTATATGAACAACTGGAACAAGTCTTCTTTACTGATATCTGAGCTTGCATCCATCCATTTGGGTAACTCTCTCAAGTCTTCCTGAACCCATCCTCCCCTATTGTTAAGCAGTTGTGACTTCTGTGTGACAGATGAGATAGCCAGATCATCTGGTGAGGTCATCCTAGAATGCCTCCCTTTCAGCTAATATATGTCTGTAGGTCTTTGTTGAGATCTGCATCCTGTATGGGGGCAGCTGAAATAGGTCTTCCTTAAATGGTCATTATTACTCCATCATATAAGTCCATGGGGACAGATGAGTTTGATCTCCCCAGGTGATCACCCTTCTTCGCATCAGTTCATTGTCTGCTGCCATAGGTCTTACTATAGAGTCACCATTCCTTACTTCAGCTGAAGGGGTCGTTGTCGGCATGGGTACTACAGATATGTACCCCAGGTACGTTTCTGTATACAGAAACGTACCTTGGCCATAATGAGAATACAGAAACGTACTCTAGGACGGTTCCATTCACATTGTGTCGTATTCTTGACCGGAACTGTCATACTGTTGTATAAGATACATTTGATTGCGTTATGTAAGTAATGAGAATACACAGTAACAGAATTTTCGCGATGCACATGAATACCACTCTGAATCAGTTGAATGGGAACAACTACATACGGTTTTGGTTTTGGATTGCGGAATATGGACTCGTCCGCCTTTTAAGGTACCGGGTACATTTCTGTATTTTGACTTTGTGTAGGGTACATATCTGTATACAGAAACGTACCTGGGGTACGTATCTGTAGTACCTGTGCCGACAACGACCCCTTCAGCCTTACTTCAGGCCATTGTGACCAAACAATCTCCAGTTAGCATTGGTCTTCCTGCATGACGACCACACCTCTGCGTCCAGTCTCTGCAGCATCTCCGGTTCTTCTACTCCATACGATAATCACACAGAACCATTCATCCCAAGCACCTTTATCAGGAGATTATCACATATACTGAGATGCAAGCGCATGCTGTTTCTTAGAGAAGATCTTCAGCAGGAACTTTGGTGCCAACCAACATATATGTGCTAGCAAATTGACAGAACCCTGGCTCTGTGGTATGCAGAGGGAGGAATCACTCTTCATTTGATCCCTGAACAAAGTTTCAATTAGACCTAATCATGACATAATGATTCATATTATTTTTTAGGCAGCTGACAGCTAAAATCTTTGAGGAAAAAAGATACAGCAGTTCTTCTTCAACATCAAAAAATGTACTTGCAATAAACATTTCATCTAATCCCTCATGTGGCTGATAAAGAACATGTTCCAGTTCACAAAGAAGATGACATGCCTTGTGTCCCTCCATGTCAGGTTTGTCTGCTAAGCCTGACACTCTGACACAATGTGTCAGTCTCACAGCCAGGCCGGTATGTAATTAGCCTTGCTCCAAGGCTGTACTGAATGCTAAGCACATGGATGTACAGTAATTCTATCCTTTAAAGAGGCAAGTCTAGATAAGCAGACAGTCAGGATCAGTCTGTTTTTATATTTTTTATAAATTTCCAACCATTAATTATTACCTTAGAGACTTGTGCAAGTCTAGTATGTACTGTACAAGGCAGACATTAGCCTTGCTCCAAGGCTGTACTGAATGCTGAGCCCATGGATGTATAGTAATTCTATCATCCGGAGAGGCAAATCTAGATAAGTGGAGAGTACAAGGACGCCAGTCTGTTAGATGAATATTTATATTTTTTAGAAATTATCATTTAAACTATTTATTATCACCTTAGCAACTTGTGCAAGTCCAGGCAGACATGTACAAATTGAAATTCAACTTGTCTGGACCCATTATACCTAAAACCCTGCTTTCTGGGTTTTTGTTGTCAGTGCCATGCAGATATGTCATGAATGCATGAAATGACAAGGACAAATTGAAATTGCAATAAAACTGGACCTGATTAGTCAGGACACCCTCCTTTCTGGGCAGTAATTGCTGGGAATGAAATGAAGATATGTCATTTACATTTGTCTTCACATGAAAAAGTCAACAGCAGTACAACAATTAAAAAACTTGTCTGAATTCCAAGAATCAAAAACCCTGCTTTTTTGCATGGAATGTCTATATGATTAAAAGGGGAATGCAAGTTAAAAATGATTTGTTAATTTGGAAATTTGTTAACACAGGTAATTTCACTTGGAATGGCATCAGGCAGATTGAACTGACTTTAAATCCATAGTATTAGACATCATAAGAATTATTAAGACATTCCTAAGAATGTTTTCTTTTCATTCTGTTTCGAAAGCTCCTTATGTGACAGAGATAAAAGCTGACCTACCCTTGAGTCTTTGAGGTTTCAATTTAAATTGCATATAATTGGCATAGATTACTAATTTGGTTAAAAACTCTTTCAGCAAAATAATTGTTTAAAAGAATGAAATGATATAAAACTATATTTTTTATGAGATGTTCCACATGTACTTTGTTTGCAGGAAATGTTTCATTCATACAGCATCTCCATGAATAGCTGTGGATTTATTAATAACCGTTGTAAGTCACGAAGGAATCACGATAGCAAAAACAGCATACAATCAAACTGGAATTTTCCATTAAAGAGCGAGCCCTACTGCAGCATTTGTTTGGATACGAGTACATAAGGATACCAATTTTGTAGTTAAGCCGTAAGCGGAAGACACTTCAGAAGTCCGTCAGACACGATCTACGTCACAACAGCTCTTAGTTTATTTTATTTTTACTTCTAGAAGCCCTCCTCGTATTTATTTGGATTTGTCTCAGAGAGGAAAGTCGCACAAATTTCAGAATGGAATGGCCAAGGGCAAGCTGTGATTAGCAAAGCACTTTCTACTTCTAACCCGACATCAAAATCAATTCCATTTAAGTGATATGGTGAAAATGTACGAAGTTAAGGATTTCCTTCTGATCGTCTGTTGTGGAACAACTCATGCTAAATGGTCAGAGGCAAATTTGGCATAAAAACAAACTTGGATGGAAGATTTTTTTTAATAGGAACGTTTTTGGGGTGTGTGTGTGAGGAGGGGGAGTAAAATGCATCCCAACTTGTTGATTAACAGATTGATTGATTGACTATCTGGAAGTAAAGAACCCTGATATGAACAGTGGTACTTTGATAATCAGGCTGGTGATATTCCTCATCTGGATTGATGAATCAGGGATACACTGACCTCTTTGGAAAAAATCAGGGATGGATCATGCTGCATGTCCCAAATCGTTTCTAGAGAAATATATTCTTTGATGCCTGAGTACATGCCTACAATGGGCATAAATATTTGGATGTCTCTCTTAAACTTTTATTGACATCAAAACAGCTTTCCAATGGTACCATGTCATGTTTTAGGTGAATTCTCATAGCGAAAACATCAAGACGTCAGGATTTCTGTCACTGCAGCTTTTTTCAGCTGTTCACATCCACACATGAATATTTTTTAATCTAATATTTAAAAACTTATTTAATCAGCCTCATACATTTGTAATTGAAAGCACCTTGAGATCAAGCACACACTTTTGAGAAGGTCATTGATTGTAATCAGTTGTGCAAGAAGAGAGATGATGAGTTGCGTCAATAATAATATTCACCTTGTCTTTAATCAGTCTCTATTGACATACAGCACAACATTTCTAATTTTGCTGAAAACCTCCGTAAAACCTTGATTATTTTGGTAAAAACAATTAGGCAATAGATTCACAGGCTAGTCATTACTATTCGTTAGTTGTGTTTGTTCAATGCCATTCCTTCAAGCACCTTCTTCGGGATATGTGCTTATGTATCTTATTTACGGCTAATATTTAGCCTGATCTGATGCATTTTATTGATAATTATGTTATTAATTATATATGTGTTACGTTGCACTAACACACTGTGTTTGACAGTGTTCTATCACAGATTTTATTGATGACATAATGATAATCATTTATCTTTTTTCATAGAAATACACTCATGCCAATAATGGTTGTCACCCCTTCAATTTTTTTTATTGGAGAGGGGATGTGGGGTGGGGAGGGGGGTGACAACCATTATTGGCATGAGTATATTTTAGCCTGTATAGATGTTGTATGCTTCTTTGTATTTGTCTGTCTGGCAATTATTGCTGAAGACATGATTTGTGACCTTTGTGGCATTCTTTTAATTCATAAGTTAGTGATAAATGTATTATGCAGACGTTTACTTCGAATTGTACAAATTACTTACAATTAGCACCATGAAGCACAGAGTCACTGTGCAAGAATACATGAAAAATGGTTATTTTTCAACATCTTAACAAAAACACCTTGGCAGTGAGCTATGCTGTGACCTTGAGTTATATTGTTATTGTCTATTTAGTAACAGATCTGAAGAAAATCATTTGGGGTCAAAGTTTTACACTTGTTTTAAAGTAATGCTCAATGAAAACTTCATGAAAAATATATTTTTCAAAATCTTAGTCATATCTCTGGACTTGTGTTGTAAAAGAAAAAAAATACTGACTGTACATCTGAACCCTTAGCAATGAATCTCAGAACAATTCTCTTCCATTTTCCCTAAATTATGAATTTGGCAGTCGTAGTGTGTAAAAATGTCCCATATAATACCTAATTGTTCTTCAACGAAATTTTTTAAAACATAAAACTGTCTGTGGTCAGAGTTTGCCGTCTCAATTCTCTTCCCATGGTTGAATATTTAGATGATGAATTGACAGAGGCTCAAATCTGATCAGTACTTAATCTGTAATTTCACGTCAGTAAAGTGAGTAATAAAAGATGGAAGATTGAAAAATGTACATAATTTTACATTAAGAGAGAATTCATGCCAAATAATGAATCTCAACTAATAGATCTGCAGGAAGCCCGTTTTCTGACAAAAAATCATTTTCCCTGATCTGCCAAACAACTTGCATTCCTTGATCTCAACGCTACAGTTTCACTGCAAATAAAACAGCATAATACTTTATTGATTCTTAACTTTGTAAAGGTTTTCTTGATAAATCTTATTGGAACTGATGCAATGACTTACAAAAGCATTTCATCAACAGCAATAGGGACACACCTTTATTATGAACACATTTGATGAGTGGAACCTTTTGACAAGACTTTCTTCAGAAGCTGGATCAGCATGGTGCTGTATTGCTCCTCACTCTGAAAGCCCAGTCTAGCCGAAACTAAACATTGTAGCCATTGCGATAGTCCTGAGCAAATAGTCGCTATTGATTCTAATTTGTAGAATAGAAGTACAAGTGTCATCCATTCGGGCGAAAATGAAACGTTTTCATGCAGTGTCAATTGGATTGTTGGATATCATTGATATGATACCAGTGTATGATCCACACTTCCTCTCCATAACCAACTGCCATTTTTTTCATCCATATAAAACACAAACATACCAAATGATTGTATTTCTGGTAAGGATTTGAAATTCTTATCCTTAAAGCTGAAACTTGCTGAATAGGACGGGAAGATTTTAATTGGAAATGATGTATTGGGAGTGAAGTAAAAGTGGCGTATAGGACAGTCTGATTTGATATTCAAGCGGTCGATCCTGAAAGTTACTTTGGAATATCCTACTCAGAAAATTGTGATTAACTGACAGCTTTTACACATGAATGTTTTGACCAATATCTCTCTTTGTCTATCAATCAGGACACAGTGCTAGGAATGGTTTGTGTGAGTCAGGAAAAAATGCCTATTTGTACCCAGCTTTGAGCTGATTGATGGGAGCGAATCATTCCATGATTGCTGCATTTTAAATACCAGCTTGTTGTCAAAATGTGTCCAGAATGATGGCATATCTGAAGATGTAACACACTTATTCAATTTCTGTTGTCAAAATAGTTCAATCACATCCTGGCATCTTTGTTGACTGAATGGCAGCAACTGTACTGACATTGAAGCAGTGTTATTCTCTAAGACATTATGAGATCCATGCCATTTCGGTCCCACTTCAGGAATGCATCAGCTGTCTGTCGGTGTGTTCTTCAAAAGGAGCTGTGTTCCACTGCTGGTAGATTTCTGTGTCGTGAAGATCCAATACAGAGCTACAACATAGCTTGCTACTTTGTCATGCAATGTTCCAATTTGTCTATTAGAATGGTTATCAGTTGACATATGTCAATGAGCTATTGTTAATGGACATGTAATATCATTGCATCTGTGACCACCTACCTGGCCATTATGTACACTGAATTGTAGGTCTGGTTCAAAAACAGATCAGATACAGAGTAGACATTTTGGAAACTAGTGTGTCGCCTAGTTCTCTGACATATCCTGTCTAGACATTTTGTAGACTGGTGTATGTGTGTCTAGTTCTGCAACATATCTGTGACCACCTCTAGACATTTTGTAGGCATGTGTATGTGTGTCTAGTTCTGCGATATATCTGTGACCACCTCTAGACATTTTGTAGATTTGGGTGTATGTCTAGTTTTGTGACACATCTGTGACCTCCTGTCTAGACATTTTGTTGACTAATGCGTATGTCTAGTTTGGTGACATATCTGTGACCTCCTGTCTAGACATTTTGTAGACTAATGCGTATGTCTAGTTTTTTATGACATATCTGTGACCTTCTGTCTAGACATTTTGTAGACTTGCGTGTATGTCTAGTTTTGTGACACATCTGTGACCTCCTGTCTTGACATTTTGTAGACTAGTGTGTATGTCTAGTTTTGTGACACATCTGTGACCTCCTGTCTAGACATTTTGTAGATTTGCATGTATGTCTAGTTTTGTGACACATCTGTGACCTCCTGTCTAGACATTTTGTAGACTAATGCGTATGTCTAGTTTGGTGACATATCTGTGACCTCCTGTCTAGATCAGATACAGAGTAGACATTTTGGAAACTAGTGTGTGCGCCTAGTTCTCTGACATATCCTGTCTAGACATTTTGTAGACTGGTGTATGTGTGTCTAGTTCTGCAACATATCTGTGACCACCTCTAGACATTTTGTAGACATGTGTATGTGTGTCTAGTTCTGCGATATATCTGTGACCACCTCTAGACATTTTGTAGACTTGCGTGTATGTCTAGTTTTGTGACACATCTGTGACCTCCTGTCTAGACATTTTGTAGACTAATGCATGTATGTCTCTGTGACCTCCTTTCTGAGACACCTGTAACCTCCTGTCTAGAAATTTTGTAGACTCTGACCTCCTGTCTAGTATGTCTAGTTGTGTGTTCTGTGACTTACACCTGTAACCTCATGTCTAGACATTTTGTAGACTAATGCGTATGAATAGTTTTTTATGACATATCTGTGACCTCCTGTCTAGACATTTTGTAGACTTGCATGTATGTCTAGTTTTGTGACACATCTGTGACCTCCTGTCTAGACATTTTGTAGACTAGTGTGTATGTCTAGTTTTGTGACTCACCTGTAACCTCCTGTGTAGACATTTTGTAGACTTGCTTGTATGTCTAGTTCTGTGACTCATCTGTAATCTCCTGTCTAGAAGTTATGTGGACTATTGAATAGGTCTTGCACTTTAACACATCTGTGATCCCTTACTTGATGTATTGTATACCAGAATGTATGTCTTCCTACCAACACATCTCTGTCCACCTACCTAGGCATCATGTATATCAGTAAGTAAGTCAGTCACTTAGAAATTAAATCAAGATGAATTAAAACAGGAATACATCCAAACACAAAAAAAGACAAAAACATATTTAATTTTTTTTACATGAAAAATACCTCACATATTGTCAATTGATAGTGGAAAAAAACATAACAACAAACAAATAAAGCTCAAACAAATACAACTTTGCAATTCCTTGCTTAAAAAACTTGATATTTCCTTCCCCCAAACAACACCTACGACCCTATTTTACCCTAAGGATCTGGTGTGACCCTCTTCAGTACCCCCCAGAGTGCAAGCAAATCCTGTACCAGAAGTCCCCAGGGTAGTTGTGCTTTAACCCAACTCCTGGTATGTCTTTCGCACACTGGCAGGAAATAATTAGAGAACTTCATGTAAAATCATTCTGTAAGCTGTGATGCTGTCTGTTTTCCCCATGTTTATGCAAGCCAGGAGGTAGTCTCTGAAGTTGCCGCCCTTGCTTGAATACTGCTGCCGACCCTACCATTTCTCTCTATAACCTAACGAACTTACCAGCCAAGCAGTCAAAATTGAATGCAGGTTTTCCGGGCTGATTTTTGCAACGATTGTTTCCGAGTTTGCTGCAACTAATTTTGAGAGCGTGTCGGATTTTCTAGCAGATGCTTGTGGCATGTTCTGTAACAATGCCAAGACATTGTGGAACATCGCGGTAGCTTGCTGCTTAGTGGCTTATCGGGGAAAGTTTAACAGCAGTTTTGAGATTTTTGTTAAAGATAAATAGGATTGTACTAGCTCCAAGCTAGCAAGCCTGACTCGTTAACAAGAGATGAGTATTTCTTATCTACTTCAAAGTACAGTACATAATTATGTATTGGTTGTAAATACCATTTTAATATAAAGATTTAAGACCAGCACTTGCTGTAGGATATAATAAATATTTGCGTAATTGGTCTGCTGTGAAGCTACAATGATTTTCCATAGCATGGGAGTAATATATCAGCTCTTATTGGTACAGGGAATAATAACTGATCCTATTAATATTACATTTTTTTTATTGTACTCAGTCATAATAGTCAAAGCTGTTTTGTTTGCTTACAAATACATATGAATATGTCAATCTTATATTATGTTATATTTTGCTCCATATGAAACTATACGAAAGAGTTGAACATTAACTGACTTTTGATACTTGTAAAACACGTACATACTTTCTCAAAGGTCATTTTCAAAAAGAACTAAAAGCATGATAATTTGAGTTATGCTTCTGCTGTGAACGTAATGCAAGAAAAGGTATGCATGTTATCCCCTTTCTCACAAGTCACTCAATGCCGAGGTTTGTCAGAGGCGTTCATTTTGTTCATTTCCGCGTTTCCCCAGCCCTATCCTCCATCACTGGAAGCCAATCGTGGCCCAGCTTTTGTAAAGACATACATAATGACAGGCTGCAAACGGAATATTTGCCTGAATGAGAAAACATTCATAGCATCAGTGCTCATGCCAATGAAAAGCTTAGAAAAGTAAGCTAAACGGGTTTCCATGGTAAACTAAGCATGCAGCTAGACACCTCCAGGTTGTTTGTTTTCCTGCGAATGCCGCTTACACTAAGAGTAAGGTGCACAAGGTTTGTGTGTTATGGTGGTGTTGATTCTCACATGTACTATACCACCAGACAGGTCTACCTTCTTTTGTTTTGTGCCATCTAAACATAGATTGTGACATCTTTATTTTTTTATCCCCACTGATAAATCTAGGGGATATAGTGATCAGTCCATCTGTCCATCTGCCGTCCATTTTTCATTTCTAGAGCAGACTTCTTAAAGTGTTCAATATTTCTTGTTGAAACTTGATAAACAGATCAGTCTAGTGATGAAGTGACGCCTTTTGACCTTTTTTCTTTATGTTTCATGATGGACTTCAATGAAAATTAGGGTAAAGGTCGTTGGAGGACAGTAACTCCAAAGCTGTTGAATATTTCTTGTTGAATCTTGTTTAACAGTGAACGGATCAGCCAGCCATGAACCGGAGCCTGTCAGTGATATGGGGTGTATTTCTTTCCTGATGTTTCAAGATGGACTTTATTGGGTAATGGTCATTTCATGACAATAAATCCATAACAGTGGCATATTTCTTGATGGAACCTGCTATACAGTCTAATGGTGAACTGGTGCCTTTTGATGATTTGGTGTATATATATTGTCTTTAATGAACTGAAGGTATCCAATGTAAATGAAATAAAAGCGGAGTATGTAGACGAACTCCATTTCTGAATTGCATCAGACAGATATGTCATTCTGTGATGATATCATTCTTTATTGTCACTGAGGGATATATACAATCCTTTGAAGTCATTGTAATTAATTAATTAGAAGCCACTTTACAATGATAAAGCATAAGGGCACAACAATGTGATTTGTTTGTTGCAATTGCTTCATTTATGAAAAAAATCACAGGTAGGGTCTACAGGGGTGGAAATAACCCATTGCCCGACGTCCGAGTCCAGTGTTTTTTCTGTCGGGCAAGCAAATTTGTATATCACACAGTTGACTTTCCAATGTTAATTATGTTGTTTATTTACAAAAATCAGCAGGAAAACGGTCGGTATAGTGGAAAAATTATCAGGGCAAGTGACATTACATGTGCCACTGTACCAGAGTACACTATCAAATTTAAACTTATTTCCACCCCTGGGTCTAGATTTATGTACATTGTTACTTGGGGCATGGAAAGCTGCTGTGACTGAGACCATGTGTGTAGAGTAGCCTCCCTTAGGCATGGCAGGAACCTATGTTTGTAGGGTTGATCCCAGGATCCGAGTCTAGTTCTAGGTTTGTCAGTACTATATTTATGCCAGGACTTTTGCTAAGAAATAATGGTCTGTTGAGCAAAGTTGTGCCAATTTTCCATACCCCCAGAAACCTATATATGTGGGCTGGAATCCCAGTTCCCCTGATTAGTGGGTGAATGAGTTTGGTTTTACGCCGCTTTTAACAATATTCCAGCAATATCACTGCAGGGGACACCAGAAATGGGATTCACACATTGTTCCCATGTGGAGAATCAAACCCATGTTTTCGGTGTGAGGAGCGAACTCTTTAACCTGATCCTGATTTTGTTTCTAGGTTCCATGTATGTCAGTTGTCATAATCATGTGTTTCTGAATCACTATCAAATACTGATGATGCCTGTTGTTTGCTAACAGTTGAGCATATCCTGTCACACACTTATCATAAACACATGCAAAGACAAAGCATGTTACATATAAGTTGATCACTTGATTGTCTGGTCCAGACTCAATTATTTACTAACCGCTGCCATATAGCTGGAGTATTGCTGAATGCGGCAAACTAAACACAATAAAAAACAAATAAAACTAAGTATGTGACATTCATATCTACAAAATGAAACAGTCAATCGTCTGCAATAGTTGAAATAAATATTGTGTTTGGTAAGAAAAAATAAAATTATTGGCTTAACTAAACATTATCAACCAAATCACAATGGCGATTTGAAAGTTTTTGAGTTATTCTATTGTCCCCTGGCAATAAAGATGTAATACATGATATCTTTCTGAACAGACAGATAGATATATGGTTCTTGAAAAACTTAATATATACTGACTCAAAAAGGGTCATATTGCAAATGAAACACTTTTACCATTTATCAACAATAGTCATTCCACTTTAGGAACACACAGAGGTGAAGAGCATACACATATATCATTCTGTGGTATACTTTCTGGAATTGTTTTTTTAAACTCATTTATCATGTACCATTATGGAACTATTCATCATTTCAAAATGTGAACTCTGTATTTCAAATGAAGAATCCTTCACTTTGAGATATCTGGGATGATATATATTGAGAAGAAACAGCGCCTGTCGAGTCATACAGCTATAAATTGGAAGTACCCACATTAATCTAGTACTTTGATAAAACAGTGTATGCGAAATGGTGATGGATTAATATTGTCAAAATGATAATATTGTCCACAACGTGTGTTGAACTGACAATTTCAAAATTGAATATTTGGAGAAAAACATGATGCATTACTTTGATAGTTATGATCATTGTAATATACAATAACGTGATAGGTTCTAGCAGTATGTATCATATAGGGGAAATCCTGATGTGTGGACAATGCCTTTCACAAAGTAGGCTCAGTGCTACCACAGTGATGATTTAAGTTAATGTTTAAGTAAGGCGGCCTTACTGCTAGGATCACCTTGTGAGAGAAGCTCAAACTGAAATGATGATGATGATGATGATGATGATGATGATGAATGTGGTGGTTATGATGATGATGATGATGATGATGATGATGGTGGTGGTGGTGATGATAATGATGATGATGATGAGGGTGTGATGATGATGATGATGATGATGATGATGATGATGATGATGATGATGATGATGATGATGATGATGATATACATTTATATACATTATACATATGTACGTTGCTGAAAATCATCCAGATACTATTGTTTAACATTTTTTACTTTGAGGGCGACCTAGAACCGCTTGTATTTCCACTAATCTTATGACATGTGCTACTGTTATTTTTTCTGAGCAAGAGCTCCAGAACAAGGGAGATCATTCTGACCCTGTATTTCTTATGGTGCGTGTCTCTCAAATGGACCCACTTCATAAACACACATATGGTAGTATTATCAAGGAGGGTAAGCAAATGGTTTAAGAATTTCATACTTCACCTCACAAAATTTATTAGCAAACTTTGAAAATGACACCAGTTCAAAAACAATATGTGTTCAACCAGTTTCAGTGATATATGAAACAGGTGCAAATACTGTCCTGGGCCTAGATTTTCGAAGCTCTCTTAGCGCTAAGATAGTCGCAAGTGCCATACATTAACATTAACTTACCGTTAATGTACCGTACATAAACTATCTTTGGAAAGAAACATCGTAAGAATTTCATGTGAAGATCAGTTTAGGCTGTAAACAATATACTCCCTTCAGAAGGTTTGTTATAGATGGTATCAAATATTCAATGTATCCTAAAGTATGATTACACAATGCCATTTAGAAATTTAACTGTACTAAGAAAGTGTAATCCCAAATATAACATATGTTGTATCCTTAAAGTATTCAATAAAGTATTATTAAATAGATATTGCTGGATATTAAAACAATAAAACTTTGGTAATAAATACATTTCTTAAAATTACAATCCTTATATATGTTCTTGTCAGATATACATGCATTCTGTTACAGAATGTGAGATCAATAAAACTGTCACATATAGAGTATTCTTTTACATAATCTTGTTTGGTAATTTCAAGATATCTGTCTACAACATAAAATTTATATCCAATATTTGAAGACAAATTGAAAAATGATCTTAACCTTAAGGGTTAAAAGAAAACAACTTGTGCTCAAAGTTGGTTACATCACACCGAAGAACCGGGTTTGATCCCCCAAATGGCTACAATGTGTGTAGCCCATTCCTGGTGTCCCCCACAATGATATTGCTGGAATATTGCTAAAAGTGACGTACAACTAAACTCACTCACTCAAAGTTGTTACAAAATTCACAACCTTAGTGAAGCTTTGAAAACATTTAAGGACAGACATGTGGAAGACATTTTCAAACATGATGTCACTTGTTCCTGTGTTTTTTAAATTGAACAATTGACTTGGTTTTGCATGTGTTTGTGATAGGTGGTACCACTGGGTCAATTTTTATGTTTATGTAAATGGGTTTGTCAAATTAATCTATATGAATTAAAGTTGATGAGACACAAAACAATTCTTCTGAAGTTGGCGATCAAGAGAATATAAGTTTGTCTTGCAAAGGCAGGATTCATGAAGCCATTGATAAATTAGAAAAATATAAAAAATACTTTCCCTCCAGCTTATTATTAATTTTTCCTCAAAATATCCACATAGAATTTATTAATACTATTATGGCAAACATTTATCATCATGAAGGATAAACCATCATAAAGACAAAAAAAGTAGGTTGGCATCAAGCTAACTAAACGCTCTCTGAAGTATGTTTGTTGATTTAGAAGTGTGATGGGCCGTTTTGAGTCTGTGTGCAGTATAGAGCTTCAGATGACAGTGTTGGTAATGAAGCATTATATTACCTACAGATCACATAATAGGGAGGTAAGGCAACGGCAGCCCACAAGCTTAGAGGTGGTTGACAGGACCATAGATCATTCCTGTGTAAACATCTGATGCTTTGCAATTCTGACTTGAAGATAGCATCAATGTTTTTTCCTGACCTGTGCGGTTTGGCACTTTGTTGAACTACGTCCAGAAACAATGTGTCTTTTAGATGTTATCCACTAAAAATAACACCTTAAAAGAAGGGCAAATACCACAAGACTTGGTCTTCGAGAACACTATGTAATAATAGCTGTGATTGTTACACAAAAAACAAGGGGTTTCGATAGGCATTCTTTGGAAGATCATTTGTTATCTAACACTCTTAGCCAAATAACCAAGGATAAAATGTTATAATGCCAAATATTCATGCTTGTACACCTTGTGTGGTATATGTTTGTCATGATAAAATCAGATGGAATAATGGCTTGCTCTGATTCAGATTACTTCATTACAGGCGTGTTGTTTTGTAAGAATTAAAAATTAGCCATATTTTTTAGTCGGGATGTGTGAAATGTTTAGAATAATTTAGTTTGGATATATGTATGAAAACTAATCTGTAATAGCATTGAAATATCATGTCTAATTAGTCTAACAGGGTGCATCATTAAAAAACACAACTGTTCTGAGCGCCTCAGAGAAGACATCGCTTTAATTTTTTCAAATGTCAAACCAAAAATATACTTTTGTTGAAGTTGCTTTGGCTAATATTTCAAAGGTTTCAATTTTCATTAATTAGATGTGCATTGACTAAAACAAATTAACAAAGCTACCTGAGATTGCCCCTGCTTGGTTCTGAAGATACAGTAGAACACGGATATAACGAATTC